AAAAAAAAAAAAGAGAGAGAACAGGGTCAGATGGGACCAGCAGCTAGCGTAATGGCTATGTCTCTGGATTCCCATGTAGTCAACCATGATTTGAGTCCCAGACCCGGTGGCTTAAACTCTCGCCGGGCGCTTGTGTATGCGTGCCCAGGATTCCGAGAGGAGAATGGAGAAGAAGGGATTGCAGCATGGCCATCCCCCCTGGGGGGTGATTTCTCGCTTTCTGTCGCTCTGTCTCTCTCTGTCTTTCTGGCAGGCACACACGCCCTATAGCAAAACCTCTCCAAAATAAAAAGAGAGAGAGAGAACAAGGTCAGAGAAATGGACCACACATTCTAAGTCACTAAACACTGGACCATGGTTTTCCTTTTTTTAAATTACTATTTATTTCATTTTATTTATCATTATTATTTTTTATTTAATTTGCTACAGGGCATGTGCGCTCACCAGGGAGAGACAGAAAAAGAGAAGAAAAGTGAGAAAGCAAACCACCAGATCCAGGACTAGACCCACAGTCGGCCCAGTGGGAGACTAGCACCTCAACCACCTGCCACCTGCTGGCCCTAATATTTTCCGCTTCTAAAATGTATTTATTTATTTAGCTAGTTAATTTTTACTGCAGGGTGCGTGCACTTGCCAGAGAGAGGAAAAAAGTGAGAAATCATCCCCCAGGGAGATGGCCTTCTCCCCCCTTCTCCTTTCAGGATTTTGGGCATTGTCCTGCATGACTTTCAAGCTACTGGGTATAGGACTCGAACCACAAAGCCAGTCATGTGGGATCCAGCACTTTAACCGCCAAACCACCTGCTGGCTCCCATTATGTTTATTTATTTCTCCCATTAGAGAGAGAGACACAAACAGAGAAACAGCGCCCTCAACAGGGTCTTGACACAGTGATCCGCCCCTCAGCCTCAGCCAGCCCCAGAGCATGGGCATGTGTGGACCTAGCATGCTCAGGTCTCCAGACAAGAACCCACAACCTTCCCATGCGGGTCAGCCCCGTACGGCACTGCACCTGACCGCCGCACCACCATCAGCCTGGACAATGTTTCCAAAGCGCTCTCTAATCTACCGTTACTAACCAGACACCTCAGCACCTGCTGCACCTGTGCTGGGTTCTCACACTCGTTTGGACAATTATTCTGCAGCCGGCTCTGTCCACGCAATGGTACTACTGTGTGCACCTTCCTGCTGCCTGGGCACAGCCAGCAAAGGGCAGACAGCGGAGGCCCTGCATGTCCTGTCAGCCCCAAGACGGCTGAGCAGAAAAGCCTAGATTCATTCAAAGGTAGATATAGCAGCCCCCAGGATGCCTAATGACAGCCTCTGTAGGGTTATTATGTGCTGGGTGATGAGAAACTCCCCTTTCTACTGAAAATAGGGTAAGAGGGAATGAATTAAAAACTACTAGGTGAGCTTGAGGCTAAGCACTGGGAATTAGTGGAAAACGTGGAGGACCCGTTAGGTGGCATGGCTGTTAAAGCACTGGACTCCCACATGGTAAAACACAAGTCTCAAACCTGGTGGCTTGCCTTCTTGCTTTCCTCTCTATCTGTCACTCTCTGGTCAAATTAAAATAATAATAGTAATAATAAATAAAATTAAATAGAATAATTCTCTTTTTGGAAAAAAGAAGGTGGAGGGGGACGGTGGAGAGCTTTCCATTGTGAAGGACATAATTAAGGGACAAGATGTAGCGCCTAGATAATGGGAATGCAATGCTATCTGGTGAAAAAAATAAATGACACTGGGCAAGATGGCTTTCCAAGGGACCGCAGGCCGCATGAAGGCGGATGCCTTTGGGAGTACACTTCCCCGACTCCATGCCACTCCACCATCCCATTTTCCACAACACACATGTGGTCTACACTGTGGACAAGAACGTATGTGAAAGGGCTCTTGAATCCAGATGGAAAGTATCGTTATTGTTTTGCATTTGTTTATTTGTTTTCCTGTCTCTCTTCACGGGTTCCTGCAGGATTTCCCACAGGCCTGGCTGCCCACCAGACCACAGCTTCCTCCAAGGCCGAGTCTGCATCTCCGCTTTCCGAGGCCCTCGGTGCACAGGCTAAGAGGAAGTCGCCAAGGAGACGCTCGATGGCCTGAACCTAGAAGCCAGCACAGAGGGAGGGAAATAGATGACCACAGAAAAGCGGTCACTGGGCAGGACAGAGGGAACCTCTCAACTCCAGGGTTGGGTGACTGAGTAAACCTCATTTGAGAAATGCTGACTTGGAAGCCGCAAGCCTTACGCCAGGGTTAGAATGATCAGTTTCGCCAAGAGTAACAAGGATGAGGGCGATCGCTGTGTAAAAGTACTAGAAAAAGTGAAGAACCACGTGGAAATGGAAAGTGCCCTCTGGGTCAGAAGCAGTAGCTAAGAGGTTCTTATAGGAGGCGAAGGGCTGCTTTTATTTCTTGCATGACCAAATAAACATCCCCTGGAAGCACTGTGTAGAGAGGAGCGCCCTCGTTCTGGCAGGGGGAGGCAGCTCTAAAAGGAAAGGTAGCTGTCCTCCACTCCTAAGGGCTGGGGAGGCCGTGAGCCTGGAGAAGGTGCGAGCTGGGGAGAGAGAAAGATGCCAGCCTTGAGTTGATGTTTCCATCTTGGTGAGCCAGCCGACTCCCGCGTATTCATAAACCACAGCACTCACCCCAGTAGCACGAGAATTTGGCCACAGCTATGGGCTCTGAGAGACTCTGATGTAGGAAGATTAGCTGGTCAAATAAATGGTGCTGTTGAATTAGTCCTTGACACACGATGATGTCCCTAACAGATCCTAAGCATTCCTATAAAAATATCTGCACGGAGGGTCTGCACCCAGAATACACTGCTGAAGAGGGTCACAAAAATGCTTACCAAACATGCTCGTGTCCGGTGAGCTTTACTGTCTTAAGATGTTTCTTGTATTGAATAATGTTCTGCAATGACTACGCAGCTATTTTTATGACCAGGAAAAATAATAAAGCCATTTTTACTTGAAAACAAAAACTCAAGAGGCCGGAGAGCGCAGCCCTTAAAAATCACAACACTGTACATTCTAGGATTGAGGATGGTCAGAGCCAGCAAGACAGAGCTGGAACAGGTCGGTGTGGAGTTTCCCTGACGTAACCGCAACACCTGTCAACACCTGTCAAAAGACAAAGGCACGTCCTTTCTTGCTGTCCTCTCCACCCTGGGATCTAGTTCCTCTTTTGCATAGAACGTCACCGCAGGGTGGCAGATTCAGCCCTCAAACACTTCACCCGCTGCTGCTACTTCCCCTTCTGTACACTGCGGTTACCAAGGACATGGGGCTCCCATGCACCCGGCTCCTTGACTGTTACTTGAGGTGATCCATTCAGTTGTCCTCTTTCTTCAAACAGAACCTTGTTGCCTCTTTGTAGGATGCTACCTGAAGATGACATCCTAGTGAGGACCGAGGTCCCTGTCCCTCCTTCTGGAGGAACTGATTCATCATCTTTGTAAGCGTCCTGGAAGCCCTACTTGTGAGTCCCCTACCGCCATCACCACCTCTTCTCACTGCTCCAAACACTCTCAGAACCTGGGCGGGCCAGCTGGGTGGGCCAGCAGCAATGCAGTGCTCACGTGAGGCTGGATCCAGAGATCGTAAGTTTGGTTCCCTGGTTGACTTGTACATGCCAGGCACACGTGCCCATGACTCTGGTGAGGGTGTTTATTGAGATATATTTATTGAGAGTTGAGGTAAACTTAAAAGAATAAAAGAGGAGGAAAAAGGAAGAAAAGAAAAACAGGACCAGCAGGTAATGTGGAGGTTAAGGCAGCTGGACCACATAGCTGACTCTGGTTCAAGCCCCAGACCAGGCTGCTTGAAAAAACATGCCGGGCATATGTGTATGTATGTCCAAAATCCCAAGAAAAAAGCGATGGGATTGTGGCATGGCCCTCCCCACCAAGGGATGATTTCTCACTTTCTCTCTCTCACTCTCTCTCTTTCCTGCAAGCACACACACCCTACAGCAAAAAAAAAAGGGGGGGGGATAAATAAGCCAGTGAATAGCACCATATACACACAAACCTAGCCTGCCAGAGATCGCTAACTTAGACCCACCACTTCTCAAAGGTGTCACGTGCTCACTCCTGCACAAGAGATCTCAGAAAGGCCAGTCAGCTGGCCAGACCCCTCGCGAGTGGCCTTTGGGTGGGGAATCCTGATCTGGGTGCTCTGCAGGACACATCTCTAGCTCAGGTGTAAATTTCTGACTAATGAGGGCTTGGAAATGGGAGCTTTTTACAAGAAAAGAGGGGAACTAGCATTTACCATATGCTCTTTCCTTTTTTGAAAAAAATAACTGTTTAATTTTATTTGTTCAGTCATTTATTGTGTATTCTGACCTGAGAGACACACAGAGAGTGAGAAAGGGAAAGTGAGAAAGCAAACAACCAGGTCTAGGACTCAAACCATGGTTGGCCATGTGGGAGTGTCCAGCACCTTAACCACTACGATACCTGCTGGTCCCTATTTACCCTATGCTCTTAGATGCTTGTTACCAGGCTCGGTCCTCCACACACGTGCTGAGTGGAGGTGAGACATCGAATTAAATGAAACACAAAGGAGAAAGGAGACCCTCATTGCAGCACGGCAGGGAGTCCTCAGATGCTGGGAACTCCTCTTTGTGGAAGCCTTATGTGTTTCCTAATTAACCTAATTAACAAAGCTCTTTTTTTTTTTTTTGAGAGGTTTTCACTATAGGGTGTGTGCTCGCCAGACAGAAAGAGACATAGAGACAGAAAGCGAGAAATCACCCCCCAGGGGGGATGGTCACGCCGCAATCCCTTCTCCTCCATTCTCCTCCTGGGATCCTGGGCATGCATGCACACGTGCCCAGCATGAGTTTTAAGCCACCGGGTCTGGGACGCGAACCGCGGTCAACTACGTGGGAGTCCAGCGACATAGCCATTACGCTAACTGCTGGTTCCCAACAAAGCTCTTTTTTAAACTTTCTTTTGTTAAACATTTTTTTTTAATTTGACAAAGGGCGCAAGTGCTCACAGGAGAAAGAGACAAGAGACAGTGAGAGGAGGAGAAGGAGAAAAGACCCCTCATAGAGCATGATCATGCTGCACTCTCCTCCTCTGCTTCTCCATCCTGCTAGGTTTTAGGGTACGCACACATACCTAGCATGTTTTTCAAGCCAGCAAGAAGAGGATGCGAACCATCTGGTCAGCCATGTAGGATCCACCTGCCTTAACCACCCAATAAAACCCTTCTAAAATCTACTGAACTCCAGAAAAGCAGTGCAGCTCCAAGGCCTGAAATGTGTCTCCAAGTGCTCCCAAGCAGCCACCTCTGTCTCCTAGTGAGTCCCAAACATCCTAAGGTTAGTTCCAACACGCCAGGCTCCAACACCTCGGCCCTGGCCCTCAGGGGCCAACATAACCAAGCCCAGGTAGCCCCTTCAAAGCTCCTCCCACGTAGTGGCCTTTGCAACCTTCATGTCTCAGAAGACTTGACAGCGGGCAGCCCCAGGCTGACCAGCCCATCGGGACCTCTCCCCAGCCTTGCAGACCTGGGACCCTGCTGTTCACTCATTCATTCACAATGTTTATTGAGCATTCGGTGTGTGATCTGGCAGAGAGGAAACTGAGGCTCAGGGACATTATGTGACTTATTCTTGGTCACCCGTGAGTGGCAGAACAGGTACTATAGATCACTGCCCGGTCTCCTCACCTTGGCATTTGTCCCCCCACACCATATCCCACAAGCTCAAGGGAGGCGGCCGCCTGATGGAATGGGGCAAAGAGTGGGGTCTTCCTCTCCCCTCAACTGCCACGCTCTGCACCACTCCGCGTCTTTATCCCTATCCACTCCACCCCTACTTCCTCTTTTGAACCCTCTCCAGACTTCCTTGCTTCTTCCAGGGGTCTTCCCCGCTCCAAGGCCTTCCTGACCCCCAGCCCAGACTCTCCATCTGCTCAGCCCCGGGCCGGCTCCGTTCCCGACTCAGCACCCCAACCATTCAGGACGCACTGGGCCCCACGTCCAAGGTCTCACCATCTCAGCCTAAAACACCGAGGCCAGCCTCCTCCGCCTCTGCTGTCGCCCGCACCGCCACCGAGGCGCCTGGTGTTGATGCGTTACCATGGCAACCACGAGCCCGCCCTGCGGGCCAGGCCCCGCCCCTCCCAGCCCAGCGTGCTGCTAGCTTGAGAAACGAAATCCCGCCCTTCCCGGTTTCCTGCCCGAGCTCCAGCAGACTCCCCGCTCCCAGGGAGCTGTGGGCGGCACCAAGAGCCAGGCTCGAGGTCACGTTGTCCCGGTGCCCACGAGGTGCAAAGCCAAACCTCGAGGAGAGTTTAGCCTATCCGGGATCGGACCAAACAAGTTTCACCGCGGGAGGTCGTCTGGCTAGATGAGATCGTCCAGCCCTGAGGACCGGCCTAAAGCCTCCCTCAGTTCTTTAAAATGTGGGCCTCAGACCAAAGTTCCGAATTACCTGCGGGAGCCGATTTAAATAAAAATGTGGGGGTCAGCAGGTGGCATGGTGGTTAAGGGGCTGACACTCCCACACGGCTGACCACGGTTCGAGTTCCAGACCTGGTGACATGCTTTCTCATTTTCCCTCCTCTCTCTCTCTCTCTGGTCAAAATTAAAATAAGTGAATGAATAAATAAGTAGTTCTTTAGAAAAATAAAAATAAAAATGTGGGTCCAACATTGGACTAAGTCAAAAACTTGTAGAATTGGGTGTGGGGGGACCTGCCTTTTCTAGTTTTGCTACTGGGTGCTTGTGCTCATGGGAGAGACACAGAAGGGGCGAGTGAGAACTCACCGTCCAGGCAGGATGTTCCCTCCACAATCCCTTCTCCAGTTTCCTCTTGGGATCTTGGGCATCCACGTCAATGTGCCCTGTGTGATTTTTCTTTTTCTTTTTTTTCTTTTAGAGGTTTTTGCAGTAGGGCACAAGCACTCGCCAGAAAGACAGAGAGACAGAAAGCGAGAAATCTCCCCTAGGGGGGATGGCCGTGTTGCAATGCCTTCTCCTCCATGCTCTTCTCTGGATCTTGGGCACGCACATGCACCAGGCGTGAGTTTAAGCCACTGGGTCCGGGACTCGAACCGCAGTCGACTACATGGGAGTCCACCGACATAGCCATTACGCTAACTGCTGGTCACACCCTTTGTGATTTTTCAATGTGCTAGGTCTAATAAGATCCAAACTGCATAGTCTGCCATGCGGGAGCTAGCCGCCTTAACCTGCAGGCCTCCTGCTCACCTGGAACCTGCCTTAATTTTAACGCTTTCTAGTTTGAATGCACCGTTCCAGAAAGATCTTTAGGGGTTTACGGTTTTCTCAATTTGGCTGGGGCACAGGGCCCCTGTGACCCTCCAATCCGTAAGGATAGAATTTAATTCCTATGGCTTTCCAGTCTCAAGAAGACTTGCCACCCAACCAAGGACGTTTTCCGTCCTCCTGCAATTCTCCAAGCTACATGACTTCTCCAACTTGGGCTCGGAGGGCTGTGCACAAGCCCCAAGGGAATGGAGGAGCTGAGACAAGGTCACCTCCAGCTTTTAAAAGGACTGTCTCTTCTGAGAGGCTTCGCATTCCTTTCCAAGATTTCCCAGCTCTTATCCTCAAGATGCCCCCAGGAGGTGAGATCAGAGAAGGGGATAGGAAGGCTTCAAGAGAGGAGTGCAGTCTTTGGGGGGGTTGGGAGTGAGGGCGGGGGTTTCCTGCTCCTGGCACCCTTCCTTATCCAGCCTTGGCAGCATAACCCGGTCCTTCCCAGCAGTGGGGAGAGAAGGGGAGATCGTGCCCAGCCTTCTGTGCATCAGACTGTCCCGCAGGGTTTTCACTCGAGTCTCACAGCCACCTCTCTAAGGTAGTCAGCATCTCTGTAACTAAAGAGGAAACTGAGGCCAAGACAGATAACTGTCCAGACGCAAAGTCTATGTTCTTTTCTCACCCTGGGCTGACTCTGGAGGAAGGCACGAAGCTGAGGCAGGGAGGGGAGCATGACAAAACCCCCAGGGTTTTGTCTGAATGTTCTTTTTTCTTTCTTTTTTAAAAATTACTTTATTTAACTTTATTTATTTATTTACTTATTTCAATTTGACCAGAGAGGGCCAGAGTGAGAGCGAGAGAAAGAGGGAAAGCGAGAAAGCAAGCCACCAGATCCAAGTGGACCACGTGGGAGTCCAGTGCCTCCAACCATCAAGTCACCTGCTGACCCCAGGTCTGAATGTTCTTCAAAGCTACCAGTGCCAGGACAGCCCATAAGGCAGTGGTTATGCCCTGCATAAAGGAATCAGGTCCTGCATGGGCTATCTTGATTCAAATCCCACCCAGGCAGTTTGCATACCCAAGACTTAGACAGGAAGGAGGAGTGGAAGAAAAGGATTTTTTTTTGGGGGGGAGGGGGGGAGAGGTTTTTGCTATAGGGCACATGAGCTCGCCAAAAAGACAGAGATACAGAAAGCAAAAAATCACCCCGCAGAGAGGATGGCCACGCCGCAATCCCTTCTCCTCCATTCTCCTCTCGGGATCTTGGGCACGCATGCACACGTGCCCGGCGTGAGTTTAAGCCACCGCATCTGGGACAAGAACCACGGTTGACTACATGGGAGTCCAGCGACATAGCCATTATGCTAAGGGTTGGTCCCAAGAAAAGGAATTTCTAAGTGAGCACAGCCCATGGGGGGAAAAGAGGTGTTCTCTCTCTGGCAAGTGTACGTTCCCTCTGGCAATTAAAAAAAAAGCTATCATTGCCCTGCCTCCAGGCCTCCCATTTACAGGAGCCCCTTTCAAGGCTTCTCATAGAGCCTGAGCAATGTTTCCACTTGGTAATGCAGTTGTGTAAATTTGCAAAAGAAGGTTGAGTTAGGGAAACATGTGCTTCATCACTTGCATGTATGGCTAGGTCACTGCCCACTGTCCCTGAGTAGGAAAGGCTTCCTGGAACACTCCTTCCACAGGCTCACTAGGGCCGACTCACCCAGTGTCCCTTTTCTCCTTGTGAGTCTGTGCTACGATGCCTAACACCAGGAGGATCTGTGAAGTGGACAAAACACGAGATTGGAAATGTACAAAGCCAGAAGAAGCCAGTCTGGGGGAAAAAAAAAAAATTCTTTTAATCATCAGTTGTGGAAAGTCGTAAATGAGGATTCTGTTCTTATCACAGCCTAGTCAAAAGTGAAGTTCTCTCTGGCCAAGAAAAGTCACAGTAACGCAATATATATAATTACAGACACATTACACAGCTCATCAAAGGAAAAGTTGCCTCCAGGGCACCTAACCCATTTTCCAATGCCAATATTTTTTTCTTTTTGCATTTCTCTCATAGAGTATTTTAAATACACATCCCTACTTGACTTTTTAAAAAATGTAACAAGATAGCTTTTCCATTTTAAAACTATTCAAGCCTTGTATATTACTTTTCTACTGTTGTAACCAATTTCCACAGGAGCTTAAAACAATTTTACTTCAGTTCTAGAGTCTGACACGGGTCTCATTGGGTTAAAATTAAGGTGCCAGCAGGGCTGTGTTTCTTCTGGAGGCTTGAGGGCAAATCCACCATTCCAATTTCTACCGGTTGCCCATCTTCTTGGCCTCAGGGATCCCTTCTTTCATCCTCAAAGCCAATAACTGGCATCTCTGTGACCATTCTGTGGTAAGTACATCTTCCTCCACTGGGAAAGGTTCTCTGGTTTTAAGGATTTGTGTGATTAGTTTGAGCCCACCTTGATTAGCCAAGACAATCTCCTTTCTCAGGATCCTTAACGGCATCATATTCTGATGTACAGCAAATCCTCACAGGTTCTGGGGATTAAGAGGTGGACATCCGGGGCCAGCAGGTGGCATGGTGGTTATGTCACTGGACTTCCATATGGTCGAACACAGTTTGAGTCTCAGATCTGGCAGCTTAAAAATCATACTAGGCATGCCCAAAATGTACGTGCGTGCCCCAACTCCCAAGTAGAGAATGGAGGAGAAGGAATTGCGGCATGGCCATCCCCCCCAGGGGGTACTTTCTCTCCCTGTCTTTCTGGTGAGTGCATGCACCATATGGCAAAAACCTTAAAAAAAAATAAAGAGGTGAACATCTGGGTAGGGGCTGGGAGGTGAAATATACATTATTCTGCCTGCTACATCTTTCAAGAAAATAATAACATCTCAAAGACTGTTCCTTGTATACTAAGACTCGGAAGAGAAACATAAACTCAATGCAAAATTTATTGATGAAGTTGATACGACTTGAATATGCCATTGTAAACTGCATTTGGAAAGCCTTGCAAGTGAAATTCAGTGTTTCGATTTGGATATATATCAAGAGTATGTATTTTCCTTTTTTTGTCACCTTTGTGTATTAAAGAACAGAAAGTTCACTAAAAATTAATGACTTAATGAGACAAGTATGATAGAGACAAGTGATGGTAGTAACGAAAAGTTTAGATTGTATTATAAAAGGTAATTCAATGAAAAGAATAGGCAAATTTTCAATGGAATAAATTGGTTATTTTTAGGTATTTGGATTGTTTGGTAATTCAATTAGCAAGAAGGAAATTCTATGAATACATTGGGAAAATATTACATTTCTTTTTTTAATAGAGAGTTTTTTAAAAGAATTATCTTATTTAACTCTATTTATTATTTTAATTTGACCAGAACGAGAGAGAGAGAGAGAGAGAGAAAGAGGAGGTGACAAAGCAAGCCACCAGGTCTGGGACTCAAATCACAGTTAGCCATGTAGGAGTCCAGTGTTCTTAACCACCACACCACCTGCCAGCCCCATTTTTGACAGAGTTTTTTTGCTACAGGGAGCACACACATGCCTGAAAGACAGAGAGACAGAAAGCAAGAGATCATCCCCCGTCCCCAGGGGAAGGGCTACTCCACAATCCCTCCATTCTCCTCTTGGGATTTTGGGCATGCACACACACGCACTCAGCATGAGTTTTAAGCCACTGGATCCAGGACTTGAACCATGGCCGCCTACATGGAAGTCCAGCGACATAACCATTATGCCACCTGCTAGCCCAGAAAATATTAAATGTCTTGTTGATTTGCCATAAAACACTGACTTCTGTTTGTACATGAAAATGGTAAGAGCTATGACAAACTGGTTAATGAG